GTGGAAATTCGGGGAGGGTCGTACTGACAGCATCTTTTCACCATCCCCATGCTGCACCCTGGGCCTCATGATCCTAGTGACTCCGGCTATACCATCAGAATGGGATGCGCCTTCGAGCATTTCCGAAGGAGTTTAACGCCTTTGCATAAAGTAATTACCAAAAGTCCTGTCCATTCCAGAATGGACTCAAGAACAGTCATCACCCCACAAACCATGAGGCGTGTGAAGGGGCGCGACCAGGGTAGCTCTTCCCACCGATTGTAACTGGTTCTGAGTTGAACCTTTGGTGGAAAATGCTGCCCTGGCTGCAGTGGGTGTTGAGCGTTATTTCCCAGCCCTTCCCCTACTTCCCAATCACACTTTGATTGCACCTCTATACCCGTCGCGTGGGCGATGCCGGATCTTCTGTTGTGTTTTCCTCGTTGGCGTGCTACTCCTACCGTGTTGCCAAGAGGAGGATCACACCAATGAGCGTAACAACGTCAGTCGGGATCCGCCCATATGACAATCACGGGATTACACGCAAGAGGACAACTCGCTCACTTCAAGAAAATATCCCATGAGCATGATAAACTAGTTCATTTCATTCCAAGACTTTCAAAATTTCTTATATACCTGATGGAACATGAAAATACCTACTTAGAAAAACCAGTGAGGTTAATTTGATTGCACGACGGGCAGCTGCCGACCATTTCATGCCAAGTGTTGTGCTCGATATCAATCTGAATGACAATTCATTACTTACCCTTTTATTTGTAACAAATGAGCTGTTGATTTGAAAAAATGGACTAGCATTATCTTCGACTGCAACGGACGTAGTTCAGGAGATCCGGGACCCAGCACAACAACCTATCCTAGCCAGTTGACTCGACATAATAGTTTGGCGTCAACTAAACGGTGTAGGACATAGTTACCGTTGCCAGCGCGGTGCGTCGAGTCAACTAGCTAGGGACTCGGCTAGTTTATTTTTTCAACACCTGATGAACGATTCTCAACTCCTGTCGAGTCGAATCTCCTGAACAACACCCAAGTCTCTGCTCTTTCCCTCAGCGTTACCCGCGCCGTCGCAGGGTACGCTTACCGAAAACTGTATTGCCATGCTTGCGGAAATAAAGCGAACCTCAAGTGGAGTCTCGTAGTACTGCACAATCCTGCATACAGCCTGCTCTTCACGTTGTTCATCAGCGTACATGCATATCATTC